CTTTGGTGGGAGAATCCGGAAAAGCTATCGCAGATGGTCCAGAATGGGAAGAATGAGAAACGAGAACGAGAGGGTGGTAAGGAACCTCGACCGCGGGAGAAGAGCGAGAAAGGGGTCGAATAAAGGGGACTCTGACCCAGATCCTGTGCTCGGTCCTCCCCTAATCCTGTTCTCTCGACTCGACCTTGTGACCCTCGCGAAGGATTTCGGCACAAAGTCCGGCCGAAGTTGCGTGAGAAACTCGGGCATGGCGACGCGGCGTAAATTGACGTAATCAAGACCCAGATTGACGTAACTTCAGATACGAAGTTTTGACATAAACAGATAAACGACAAATAAAGTTAACAAATTGTACACGATAAATGCCCAGTTTCAATCGCCGCTTATGGGTTCACGATGAAATGACGGAAAATATAGCGTGTTAAGTGACCGGAAAAATAGACTTTTTTTCTTGCCTAAAAATTTGCCCTTTGCCGGCCGAAATCAACTTGTGATATTTTTGTCGTTCGTTTTAGTACGCTAAATTAATCAGATTAAAAATAGCGATATGTAAAATACGCGATATCGATAATTATAAAATAGAAAATCAGTGATAGTAGTAATAGTAATAATAGAATTAGCGATGTTCAAATATGGATAATGCATTAACGAAAAGCTAATGAAAGGACGGCACAATTAGAATGCCACACACGCTTGCTCATGCTGGTGCTATATTAAACGTAGTAACGAAAATTAGCTCGACAAGCTGGATTTACCAAACATTTTGCGTCGCGGCAAAAACTCCATTGATTTGTCATGATTAAAACTCGAATGAGCATCTCCCTAACGATTCATTATGGCGCGTTTGCATGACAAAGGATGATGAGCTTAAAACAGATTTATGACATATTCTCTTGAAATTGCATTATAATGCATTCCGCTATTTGATAGATCGTAATTTTAACATTGTTAAGTTTATTAAGGTAATAAATCTGTGTAGTTTGGTCTCAAAATGACTAATATTATATTTTGAGTAAACTGATTTCCACTTTAAATATAACTCTTTCTATGAAACAGAAGAGAGAGAGAGAGATTTAAAAAAAAGATATATATATATATATATATATATATCTTTTATTGTGAGCATATATATATATGCTCACAACTTACAATTCAATTAAAATTTGTAAATGTTAAACCTCTTAAAACAAAATTACGCAAATGTGCCATTAATAAATATTTTTCAATAGAGATCAAAATGATTTTATTTTGCTTCACCGCAAGATTATCTTATGCAGTTAAGCGACACGGATTCTCGATTGCGCAGCATCTCGTAACGATACACGATACAGTTCATTTATTAGCACAGACTGCATAGGTCCTTCGATCGCATCGAATGTTACCTTGACATCAACGATTGCGTCAGCGCGATGAATACGACATTTGGCTATATCGACTCGATTATCGTTTCGATATTATTCTCATTGTCAGTCGCGACAGCAATGTGCATGTGATGATGCTTGATAATGACAACCTCGTATTAACTTCAAAACAGAAAAATGATCTTCAAAGATAGAAAATCATGCATGTAAATATATCGCGTCTCATTTGAAATATAAACCATAAAACTTTTTAATGAAATTTTAACGAGACGGAAAGAATTGATCGATTTGATGCAACAATGAGCTAAATTCATAATTCGTAAAGTCTTTTCAACTATAAAATCGCACTTATCTTATATTTTAAATAATTTTTTTAATTTTTGTGCACAACTTGTACACAAAAATTACAAATTCCAATTAATAAATATATTATTTGCATATTATTGATAGCATCATGTACGAAGGTAAAAAGTTCCACGCGCGTACGCGCGTGTGTGTGCGTATGTGTGTGTGACTAGATATCATAGGGACGGTGTGGTTCTACACGTTCCAATCTGCATATGATTAAGCAGGAAGATCTTTACGCAATTTGTAATATCAAGACGAAAGCGATCCAATCACAAACTTAATAAAGCTTGGTAGGTGAGCCATAGTTTCCGCGCTCGCATGATCAACGCCGTTACACGTGTAAAAGCCGCGGTAAATCTGCCGTGCCGGTTGCGCGGCGTCAGACGTTTTCCTTATCTGCTCTAAATAAATTGCCGCTCCTCCCTCGGCCGGCTCCGTTCTATCCCCGACGCCATCGTCGAATCCGAGGGTGGAAACTCGCGAAACGCGATTACAATAGATAATACATTCTGCCTCACGTCCTGCAGGCGAAGATGCAAGCGGCGGCTACGTGCAAGATCGCGTGCAGCGGCGAAAGTAATCAACTACCCGTCGTCTCTTTCGACTTCTGCTTCCGGATCGAACGAACACAGAGTGCGTTTGGATGTACTCTACCTACGCGAGCGAATAAACACCGCCTGCTTGGGGCCGGTCGTTTCCCTATCATAGAATATTCACGATGCAGCTTCCGGATATTTTTCTTTCGTTTTCCGCGCAATTATTCTACACCGTTCGTTATTCTCATTTACCCAATATAATTGAAAACATTAGGATGTTAGTTCAGAAATCAGTGATATAACTAGAGTAAACATGCACTCAAGACTTCAGTGCATCTCTTCCAAACATGGACATTGTAATGAGTTTATTATTATAGTTGCCTCCCTCGCTACATCCTCCCTCGCTTTACCAACGTTACATCCTTTGTAAATTAATGTTACGTACATCGGTCTTGTGGTAAATATTTAATCAATTTTGCATCGCCATTCTCTCTCAATTTTTTTATTAAATTTTCTATTAAATTTTAATTTTTTTAATAAAAAATAATTAAGCTTCTTTTGCTCCTAAATTGATGTAATTCAAAAGCAGTTTACTCGAGATGAATAAAAAATAAACACATCCGTAAATATATATTATAACAAAGACATGTTATAAGTCAGTTGAAATATTCCAGTATGCCTCACGAACTTCATTTCCTATTTATGAGAATGCCATTTCTAGTTAATGCTAAAAAGTAATGTTACCATAATGTACTCTTGCTCTAACTTGGATATTGTGTACTGTAATAATTCAGCTATAAGCACACACTTCTGTCTAACATAGTTTTCAAACTAACTATTCTGTCTGTCTTTATTCAGAGATTTATTTTATTGCGCAGCAAATTTGAAGTTTAATTATAATAAAAATTTATCAATAATAAATTTAAAAAATAAAATAATAAAATAAAGTTTGTTGATAATATTAAATACTAATTTTGTAAAATATATCCCACAAGATAAATAAAATAAAATGTGTATAAAATTATCAAAAATTTATAATATGTTTAAAAAGATTTTCTTTATCCGAGAGAGTAGAGAGAGAAAGGCGCGGCGAAGAGACAACCTGAGCATCAAGCAACGATTCCGGCATCTGCGTAGTCTACGAGTGACGTATTTCGTTTCCATGCCATTCTGTTGAGTCATGGGCTATCACACCGGGAAAAATTCTGGCTGCGTAAGATTTCTGGCACCGGAATTCTCATTTCTATTCTCATTTCGTGAAATCAGCTTACATGACATTACAGCCTCTTAACAGGCGTTTATTTGAATTCTCAAGGTGTACAGTCGACTCAGATTGTAGACAAAAATGTCATTAAATTCTAGCGTCAATTTGATTACTTATCTACCTACTTTTGATTTTAATAATATCAAATATCACAGATAAGATACTTTTATCACTTGAGATAAACTTCGGACAAATTCTAAAATTATCTACATTAATTAAGATTAAAATTGAAAAATTATTTATCTTTATAGATCATAATTATAGTCTTTAGAAATATATATATTATTATTGATAAAACGCAGCTAAGATTTAAACTGTAGATTGCAACTTAATGCGACGAGATCAAATTATGATGTATGATTAAATATGCTGTTTAAATTGACACTATAGTTTATGGTAATTCGTAATAAATTTATGCTTACTGCGACCACGGATATATTGGTGCAATAGATTAATAAATAACCAATTATGATCCGGAATGAGAACTTAATCGCAGCTGTGATTTTATTTCGGTATTTTAAAATTTTACGTCATGCACAACTCTCTGCCTCTTTATTAATATGTTGTGAAAAAATATATCTCGTTTCTTGCAGCAATCAATAAATACATTTTTTAGTTGGTATTCGACAATTTAATAACTTTTTTCTATTTTTATATAGCAATAAAAATCTTTAAAATTGTTATAAAAAATTTTGGTTTAATTTTTATTTTCGAATAATACGATCACAATCCGTGATCGTTAAAAAGCCTGCTATGACACTGGAAAAAGTTTATACACTGCACTATCGATTATATGCAATACAAGGAATATCGCGCCATGACCATTCGAAAATTCGAGCGCAGTAAATCTTTCTCAAGACTAAAACAGCAAGGACAATGATTTATATTAGCTATAAATCTGACACTTTGTTAGATTACATCATGTGTTCCACATATTATAAAAAACATGTACTACGATTCGTTAAGCTTTTGTAATGAACCGTAATATATTATTAGATTTTATTTATATTACTAACTTCATAATATAGTATCACTTATTTAGCATTTAATTTGTGCAATTAAATAATTCTAAAAATATCTTGTGTTTTTTATATAATTCTATATAAAAAAAAAGCTATAACTATCTGTAGAAGAAATACAAAAATATATAATGCGTATCAAAATACGCTATCAAAGTTAAACTAAAGTTAAACTTAAACAATTTAAGTTTCAAAAAAATTAAAGATACAAAAATTTAAATTTATTATTAAAATAATTGAGTTTTGCAAAAATTTTTTCAAAATACTATTTTCAAATTATAAAATATTATCTTATTGCACTGTTAAATTCATATTTTATATTTTTATCTCAAATAGAAATTTTAACCTAATCATAATAAGAAATTTTGATAAATGAAAGTTTAGCTTACAAAAGACGACTTCGTTACATTAAGCTCGTCTCTATACCATCGCTAAAAAAGTTCGCATTTTGTGCAATAAATAAATGACTTACCGTTTCGATGCTCTGCTGACGCCTGATGCCTCCTAGGCCTCCTCCTCCTCTCGTTGTCAGTGGTCCTTTGAGGCACTCACTCACACTAACCCACACTAACTCACACGCGTTCGCGGCGCACGCCTTGCTCGCGTGCGTACCCGAATACGAAAATCGCTCGACTTACTTTAAACGGCATTCCCGACGTCGCAAGTGAATCGAACCGAATTGTCCAAGATGCGACGTTACGCGCGAATCCCGTCCGCGTTTCAGACGACCGCACTTTTCAATTGGGGCACGATTCTCTCAAAGCAGAAGGCATAAGCCCGAAGAAGGTAAGGGGTGCGATTAGTCATGGGGTCAACCGATCGGATACAGAGCATCCCAGCAGCATTTCGGTGCCAAACAGACGGAACTAGCAAAGTCGCTGGGTTGACTTCAATGCCGTCGATCATATGTTACATCGTTGCAATTAAGCAACTCCATGCATGACATATGTTAGCGGGCTGAGGGAGTCCGATCCAGTCGGGATCCCATGATAAAAATCGATCCTTCCCTCCCTCGAGCCAAGCCAAAAGTCGAGAAGAAAGCCCCCCTCGAAAGAGGTTCGCGATCGTGTCCCAATATTTATTGTATCATTTGACAGAATGCGTTCGTCTTAAGATTCGCTAGAATCAGTGATGCGCTGTCGTGAAATTTTTTCCCGGATAGAACCTCCATGCGCATGCGTAAGCTGACGTCACAGCTAGACGTCGACTGCTACCACAGATGTATCTAGGTGTACTATAGGGGATATGATAGTTTTCCCGCGTTTTTAGTGAAACACGACATATTATAGTGCATTATAATCAATTACAATTGAAATCAGCTGATATTGTGAAAAAAGAGAGTGAATTACTGAGGGTTCAAAGCGTTTGCTTAGTGCGCAGACGCAACTTTATTTCCACGACAGCGCATCACTGGCTAGAATACGGCGTTTCGTACTCGCGCGACACTGTCACGGCACTCCCGGTAAAACGGCACTCCCGCACTCCCGACGCGCGTTTTATTATGTTATGAAATTACGACGGAACGAGTACGACGATTCGAAACGCGACACAAAAGTTTGGGTACGTTAGCTTCCCCTTCAGGATAAACCATCCGGGTACTGAGCCCTCCCACCACGACAAGGTGTACCCATGGGAAGGGTGATCCAAATGTTAACATTTTATTAACATCAAAGATACATACACGATGAGATACAATTGTAAAATAAAAATTAGATAAATATCTCTTATATATGATATGTATATCGAGATATTTAAATTGAAACTAGTGTACTTCGGTAGTTAAATCAAAGTCAATTTATCGCACCATAATGGTACTTAACGATATTAGCAAAAAATAAATTGCTAATTAGCTGATTAACTTTCCTCTCAATATGAATCGTATTCGTTCAAACAGAACGCTTAAAGTTGTTCATTATTACCATAAATTATATATCGTAATGAATTCGCCCAGTATTCATGACGACGATGAACGCGTTAATTACTTTCAACGAGCTAATTATTCGCATGCACCGGTTAGATCGATCGACTTTTATCGATTTATAATTAAATGGCTTGACGACTTCTGGAGAAACGCTTTACTGTGATGAGCTTGCACCTGTCAAGGACGTACGGCAATTTGCACCCTATCTCGCTGCAAATCAGGATGGTCGGCGTATCCTATTTCGTTCTAATTTTAAGCTTGAGATTGGAAGATTGCGCGTGGCAATAAATATGATGATCCACGATCTACGACTTATTACTTGCAACTAACGTTCCGTCGTTAAAATTTTTCTCTATTTGCTCTGCTTTTATTACAGACTTTAAAACAGACTCGGTCCAGTCGTCGTAATAAAAGAAAATGATCCCCACATTAGCGATAAAGTATAACAAATCTTGGTCGTTACAAATATTTATATGCGCTTCAAACACGCGTTGCTCTAGAAATTTTAATTTAGTCGACCATGTCATTAACGTTTTTCGATATCATAAGTTTCATCGTGGCATTAATTCTTCCACCAATAAATAAAATGTTATAAAAACGAATGTTATAGAAACGTTAACTCATTAATTCCAGTTAGCTAATTTTAAAAGAATTCTTATTTTAATAGAATTTTCTGTTTTATTGTACATTTTTGCAAAATTCATTCATTTTTGTATCGTACAAATAAATGTTTCGATATAAGAAACGTTTAAATAGATTTTTCAATATAGCGTGTAATGAAAATTAGATTATTCCAAAAAAAGCAATTAAAAAAAGTAAACAGAATTTATAAAGAATAAACATGCTAGGCAAACCTTCACAAAATTTGCCTTTTCAGTTCTGAAAATCTCGATTAATACAGCTGCGACTACTAACGCAAAATTTTACAATTTACAATAGCAAATCTATTTTAAGCGAAACAACTTGAGTAATAATTACTTTAGTCGCAAAGTCTGCTACTAATTTTGCGAAAGTTCGAGAAACTCCTGTTTCATCGCTATCGTTCGATGCACAGTGCAAAATATCCAAGCACAAAACGTCCACAGAACCGAGAAAATGACAGCTACGCCTAATTCATATAAAAAGTTCTCGGCGAGTTTTCGCCATGCGATCCGCTAAGTGCAAAACTTCGGTACGACGAAAATGGCATCTAGGTTGGTGATAAAATGTACGAGTGCTCTTCTGCCAGTCCGCAAGTGGTGTAATTTAATCGGGAATCAGAAGTCGGCCGATCGCAGTACGATCAAACTTCTCTAAAATTATGACCAACCGCCGATATTAGCAATCGTGCGCGATTGTGTGCGAATAAATTATCTAGATCTAACTCGAGGATGAGAAAACATTGTACCGATAGCAAGTATAAATCATGCGAATAAGTTTGCATACTCCGTTATTCATAAAGATACTCGCGATAGATATCCACATTTAAGCTTCGCAATTATCAAAAACTTCAAATATTTTACCTCTGTGAAGTTGGCCCCCCATTTTTCAAAATAAAAAAAATGATTAGAGTTCTGGATGCCCCCCGAGGAGTTCTAGAGTTCTCAGACCATTTTAGAAAAAGTTCTGCCATTTAAAGTAAAGAAAACACCATTTGAAAAATGGGGGGGCTAACTTCACGGCGCCCCCATTATGTAAAAAATCCAAATTTTTTTATAGTTCTGAGTAGATTTCAAATAGTTCTATAGTTCTAGATAAGATTCAAAAATAGTTCTGCTCGAAATACTACGTAAATTAAATTTGAAATTCTCGACTTAGAAAACGAAAAATAGCGAGAACTCGTTCAATTTTGATTTTAGCGTTTCGAGCCTTAAGGATAATCGTTAGAACTCGTGAGGGGCTATACAGAACTCTCAACAGAACTGCCGGTTACCGAAAAAAATTTTTATTAGAAATTTTTCGAATTCGAAACTTCAACCATCGAGAACTTTTTTATTTCACCTCTGAGCGTTACGAGTGTTGATAATTATCGTTAGAACTCTTCGGGGGGCGTCCAGAACTCTCAAAAGAACTGCCGGTTACCGTGAAATAGTTTTTTATTCATGTTTAAAAAATTACTTTGGATTAATGCTTTACATAAATAACCACATGCGGACATATTTCTTCGTTTGCATTTGCCACAGATCGTTTTGACGCCATATCATCATATTTGAACCAATTATTTCCGGTATATGTAAATGCGATGTAATGTCCATTATTAGAACTGCCGTATTGAGTATATGAAATGACTCCTGCTAAACTGTAGCGATTGTCATCAATAGCAACAAGTTTTGTTATATTGTGCAAAGGATACTCATGTTTAGCATCAATATTTTGGGCCTGTCTGTAGTTGGTATCACTGTAAATGCTTGTATCAATAATCAAATGAGATCCGTATAAAATGGTACGGCTAATGCGCTTTTTGCAATT